CCAGCAGCCGCTGCTGGCCCAGCTGCCCCCCCAGCCCCTTGTCCTTGCTGCAGGAACATCATGATCCAGAAGCACGACAGCATCACCGTGGCAGTGCACAAGCTGCTGTCCTGAGCCCTGGCACAGCTCTGCTCCTCCCTGCACTGCCACCCTCCCTCTGGAGCTCCTCACCTGGGATGAAGGCTCTCCCTCCCTGCCTGCCTCTCCAGACCACATTTCAGCCCTTGTGCTGCTGAGGATGAAGCATGGGCACCCCCAGGCCCTGTAACAAGCAGACCTTGCTCTATTTGGGTGGGGCTCATTTGTGGAAAAAAATCAATAAATTAACTGTAAAAATCTTCCTTCCTCCTCTTTGCTCTGGCTGGCAAGGGAACTTTTCCCACTGCCTTCATTAGCATTTCTCTGGAGAAACATTGGAGCTCATGGAGGCTCCTCAGCAGAAAAGCTTTCTGAGGAATTTCTCCCAGGAAACATTTCACCTCCTCAAGTTAAACATTCTGTGGGAGTTCTTGCTCGCTGTGCCTTGGGTTGAAGTTCAAACCTGGCCCTGGGAGCTGTGAAGGGATCTTGGCAATGTCCTCACAAACCCAGGCCCCTCTTGCTCTCACAGCTTTGAAATGCTACAGGAAACAATCCTGCAAAAAGTGGGGGAGCTGCTGCACCCCAATGGTTCCTGTGTGCTGGGGAGGGAAAAGGAGCTGGGCTGCAGCAAGGGGAGGGGAAGGGGAGTTTCACAGCTGAGCATGAGGGAAAAACATGAGATTGTCACTGCTACAGTGAAGGGATGGGATTAATGTCATGCTAAGAACAATTTATTGCTCAGATAAACATCAATCTCAGAGACTGATGTGAGATTTTAGAGGAGCCAGCAGTCAGCCATAGCTCAAGAGTACCACAAGATTTTTTGTTATTAGGCAATATAGAATTTTATAAACCAACAGAAAAGGCCACAGGATTTATTTTGCTTTTCTGACCTATCTTCTTTACTTATTTCTGCAGATACTTTTATCTAATGGGTGTTTAACTCACAAGTTTTAACTTAATATTTCCATTATAACTTCTAAACTCCCAACCTACTCCATACTATTTTAGTACTACACTGTAAACCTTTCTCCATCTTACCCATACAGTTTCTCACTTTCTTAAGGCATATTCTTACTTACAGCTGTAGAAACATAAGAAATAAAAATATTGCATAGAAAATGTTATATAGCAATAAAATTATAATTATATTGCAGAGAGCATCCCTGTCCCCACTGATGCCCGTTTTCTGTGACCTCAGGAGTGAATCCCACCTGGCTTCACTCAGCTCAGCAGGAGCAGCAGGGCTGTGCTCACCCAGGAGCTCAGGCAGATTCACAGCGAGGCAGGGAGCTGTGAAAAACACTAATCACTTGGGGTTTTTTTAAATTTTAAAAAGTTTAATAGTAATAAAATTATTATAAAATTAGTAATACAATTAGAATAATAATAATTTGGACAATTTGGATTAGGATAATGAGACAATAAAAACAAAGAGTTATGGACAGTCCAGGTACCTTTTCTGGGCAGCACGAGCCTGAAAAAGGCCCCATGTTAACAGAGGATTAACCCTTAAAAACAACAGCCTGTTGCATATTCATACACCTCTTACATGATGCATAAATTCCATTCAAACACAGGATTCTGTCTGATCAGTGTCAGCTTCTTCCTCTGAATCCTGACAGTGTCTTCGAGGTGGGAAGAAGTTCATTTCTCCTGATAATGGGGCAAAAAATTCTTTTTCTCTGAAAGATTCAGGTGTCCTGTGGCTGCTATTTGTGGCTGCTATTTCTCTGTGAGTCCTTTCTTTACACCCTTTATCATGCAACAAGTCCTTTATCTTGACATCTTCAGTGTCATGCTTTTTATAAGCTACAAGAACGTAAAATTTGGTGGGTGATTGGTTGATGATTTATCATCATGGTTTGTATTTTTGTTTGGTTTTTTTTGGGGCTGGTTAGTTCTGGTGTTAATTCTACGTTTGTTTGGGGGTGGTTGTGGAGTGATGATGATGGTTGGTTGTTGTTTTTGATACTAGGAAATATAGAGGAAGGTTAATTGAAAGTGTATTGACGACAAATTATTTAGATAATGTAGGGATATATGGTTTAATTATTTGAGAAAAAAAAAAAAAAAGTCAAGATACTTTAAAGAAAAGTATCCTACATAGCACAGTTTCTATTTCAACATTTCTTACAACCTAAAACTGTATTTAGCACACTACTTTATAGAATTAATACAGCATCACTTTTTAACACAACACGTATAATATTGTTATGAATAAGAAGCTTGACTAGGCCAATATTCAAGCAGCAATCAATTTATTAATTAATATGGTAAAGTAGGAGCAATAAAGCACTGGGTACAGTGGGGGAAGTTTTCCTTCCTACTGCACACCCATAGTTGAGGCTTACAGGTATTTATAGGGGCACTCATCAGCTTTCTCAGCAGTTTCTATTCCAAATTTTTACTCATCAGCAGTTTCTATTCTAAATGTTTACGTCACAATGTTTCTGTACACTATTGTGATTTAGTTTTTCCCAGGATGTAACCCAAAAGGAGCATCCCCAGATGGTGCTGGTCTGGTTTCTGAAAGAAGGAAGATGAATCCCATCTGGTGGGGTCCAGCTCCCCAGATGTGGGTCCACCTTTTAATTGTAAGGACTATAAATCTCATAACAGTGATGCCCAGCTTCCCTTGGTCAAAACTATAAATCCTTGAATTGATGTTCATCTTCCTTTCTCAAGCTGTTTTTCTCTGCTTTATTAAGGCGTGAGATAAGCATGTTTCCTTTATATACATTCCAAAGCTAGAGTTTCAAGGATACAAGCAATATTCTAAAATTATACTTCAAAAGGTAATTATTGCAAAATTCTTTAAGGTTTAGCTATAAGCAAAGAGCAACATCCTTAACACTTTAGCTCAAATGCTCCTAAATCAACTAAGATTAATTGCAAACAAAACATAGGTTCCAAGGCCTTCTTCCATGCTTTGCTTTCCTCAGTTATTATTAGAATTCATCTTTATAACTGTCCCATGATCGGTCTCCACACATCTCACAATCACAAATACACACATTGCCTGTGTGTACCTGACACCAAACACAGCTTTGTATTTCACAATATTCCTTTTAATATTCGCAAAAAGCCAATCGTAAAATACGTATTTTTCGCAGGGCCAAACGCCGGGGCTGCAGCGCGCTCAGTTTTCCATGCTGTCCCCGCTCAGTGATGCCGTTCCCAGGCAGGGACCGGGCTCTGCCCAGCCCGGCCCGGCTCGGCTCCGGGATCCGGAGCTCTCCCCGCGATCACAACTTTGCAGGCTCCCCCTCCTTTTCCTTCCCAGCAGGATTTCTGCTCCGAACGCTCCGGGTTTCCTGTTCCCAGCTGGGCAAGGGGAGGGACTGCCGGCCCCGGGGCCTCGCAAGCCGAGCTCTGCCTCCGGAGAGGAGGAGGAGGAGGAGGAGGAAGAGGAGGAGGAGGAGGAGGATGGGTCCGTCCCCCCAGCCCTTGCCCGGCTCCATGTCCCGCTCAGCGCCGACACCATCCTCATCCTCACCGCACGGGAATGAAGGAGCAGAATCTGGGCTGCCAGGTCAGGGAGGGGGGATTTAATCTCTGGGGCAGATGAAGAGGCTCTGAACAGATTGAAGAAGCTCTGAAGATATTGAAGAAGTTCTGGAGATATTGAGGAAGCTCTGAAGAGACTGAAGAAGCTCTGAAGAGACTGAAGAAGGTCTGAAGAGATTAAATAAGCTCTGAAGATATTGAAGAAGCTCTGAAGAGACTGAAGAAGCTCTGAAAACATTGAAGAAACTCTAAAGATATTGAACAAGCTCTGAAGGTATTGAAGAGGCTCTGAAGATATTGAGGAAGCTCTGAAGAGATTCCTCTTTGCTGTCGAAGTCCCGGGGAGGATTTTCCAGCATGCCAGGGGGTAAGGAAAAGTTCCAGTTCATCACCCCGGGTGCTGCAGGGTCCAGCTGCTCCCTAGGGCAGGATCCTGTCCCTGCCAGGGGTATGGGATGGGTGAGAGGATGGGAGCTGAGAAATCTGCAGTGGGAGAGCTGGCAGAGAGCTGTGAGTGACCCCCGGGCTTCTGGCACAGCCCAAACTGCTAAAACAGCACTGAGGCACGGAAAGCTGAAGTGGTTGGAGTGATTTCATGGGAATGAGAAAGCAAATGGAACTGTTTTCAGAAAAAATTGGAATTGTGAGAAAGTCTGGTGGAAGCATCACCTGAGTGAGTGCAGAGTGTGGTGTCTGCCCCAGCACAGCCCTGGGGCTCCAGGGAATGGCTGGGAATGGTTTGGAATGGTTGGGAATGGTTGGGAATGATTTGGAATGGTTGGGAGTGGCTGGGAATGGTTTGGAATGGTTGGGAATGGGTGGGAGTGGTTGGGAATGGGAACAGAGCAGTGGAAGGTGTTCATGTGTCCTGATGTTCTCACCAGCAGGAGAGGGGAAGGAGGATGAGGAGCTGGAGGATGAGGAGCTGGAGGATGAAGAGCTGGAGGATGAAGAGCTGGAGGCTCCGGAGGCTCCGTCAGCCGGGAAGACCCGAGGCTCAGGAGCAGGATGGGCATGGGGAGTGGTGTTCCACTTCTTCCTGGTGAGTGGGGAATGCTCCAAACCCTCCCAGGGCAGGGGCAGGGGGATCTCCAGGACAGCCTGACCCCAGCACAGGACAGACTGACCCAGCCATCCCAGGGCACACCCCAGCCATGCCATTCCCTGTGGAATGCCCCCTGTAAACGTCTCAGTGATGGACAGGAGGGTCCCCTTGCCAGGATGGCTTTTCCCTGGTCAAACACATCACCCCAAAGGAATGTCAAACCCCAAATGAGGGTCAAACCCCAAAAGGGTGACAAACTCCAAAGGAGTGTCCTGTCCCTTCAGCAAGAGCATGATCCCACCTCAGGCAATGAGGGGCTGACTGGGAGCAGCACACACTCTTGGGTACTCTCTGGAAGGACCTGGCACCTCAACACCCCTTAAAGCCACTCATTCTCTGTGCCCCAGGCTTTATCTTCCCACCAGTGATGAATCAAGGAATTGTGAAGCTTGGAGAGGCTCTTTAAGGTCACTGAGTCCAGCTGTATAAAAGGCACCGTGCCCCAAGCTAGGAGAGCTTTCCTCCCTTCAAATCCACCCCGAGTGACTCACTGGCAATCATTAACCCCTGCCAGCAGGGAGACAACTGGAGTTAAAATTCAGGACACAAACTCTCTGTCCTTTGCCCCTGTGGCAGAGAAATCCTGGGAAACTGCCCCAGTTAATGTCCATCCCTGCTGCCCTTATCCCCTCCCAGTGATCTCCACACTGATAAATTTGACCATTGCTGCAGTTCTAAAAAATAACTTCGAAGGGAAAAGGATCCTATGAAAACTGAGCTCTAGGATGGGATGGAAAGGGGAAGGGGAAGGGGAAGGGGAAGGGAAGGGAAGGGAAGGGAAGGGAAGGGGAAGGGGAAAAGGGAGAGGCAAAGGGAGGGAAATTTTTTCCTTCCCTTTGGAAAATCAGTTTTCAAAGGGTTTTCTGAGGGTCTGCTGAGGCCAAACTCAGCATGGCCACCCCCAGTCCAGCCTGCTGGCATTCCCCAACCCCAGCTCAAGTGTCCCCGTTTGTTTCTCCCACACCCCCACAAAATAAGCAGAAGGAAAAGCTTTTCCTCCCTCCTGATGCCCTGTGGCACCTCCCCTGCACCCCCTCTCATCCCAGGTCAATGTGCTCGTGATGGGGATGCTGAAGACCTTTGGGATTTTCTTTGTGGCTTTCCGAGAGGAGATGGGGGGATCCTCAGAGCAGCTCAGCTGGATCGGCTCCATCATGTCCTCGCTGCGCTTCCTGGGAGGTGAGCTCCTGTCCCAGGGCCCTGAGGGGGCTCTCTGCACCCCATGCCCATCCCATTCCCACCCCAAACTGCTCCCAGCTGGACACGGCTGGCACCCACACGGGTCTGAGCAGGAATGTGCTCTAAACACTGGGACGTTCAGATGGGATAGTGGGAAAAAATTGGAAATTGGGAAGAAATCCTTTCCTGTGAGGGAATCCTTCCCTTGTACAAGATTGTGTATGAGGATCAGGAGGGATTCTTCATCAGGTGCTGGATTGACAGGACAAAGGGGAATGGGTTCAACTGGAAAAAGGGAAATTGGTGTTTGATATTGGAAAATCCTTTCCTTAGGATTTTTCCTCCTGAGAAGCTGAGAGGCCTCAGGAACAAAATGTAAACAATGGTTATCTGCTGCTGTGGAATGCAACAGGTGCATCTGTGATTGGCCCATATTGAATGTTTATATTTAATGGCCAATCAAAGCCCAGCTGGCTTGGACAGAGTACAAGACAGCTGCCCTTGTTATGANTGGGGAGTGGTGTTCCACTTCTTCCTGGTGAGTGGAGAATGATCCAAACCCTCCCAGGACAGGGGCAGGGGGATCTCCAGGACAGCCTGACCCCAGCACAGGACAGACTGACCCAGCCATCCCAGGGCACACCCCAGCCATGCCATTCCCTGTGGAATGCCCCCTGTAAACGTCTCAGTGATGGACAGGAGGGTCCCCTTGCCAGGATGGCTTTTCCCTGGTCAAACACATCACCCCAAAGGAATGTCAAACCCCAAATGAGGGTCAAACCCCAAAAGGGTGACAAACTCCAAAGGAGTGTCCTGTCCCTTCAGCAAGAGCATGATCCCACCTCAGGCAATGAGGGGCTGACTGGGAGCAGCACACACTCTTGGGTACTCTCTGGAAGGACCTGGCACCTCAACACCCCTTAAAGCCACTCATTCTCTGTGCCCCAGGCTTTATCTTCCCACCAGTGATGAATCAAGGAATTGTGAAGCTTGGAGAGGCTCTTTAAGGTCACTGAGTCCAGCTGTATAAAAGGCACCGTGCCCCAAGCTAGGAGAGCTTTCCTCCCTTCAAATCCACCCCGAGTGACTCACTGGCAATCATTAACCCCTGCCAGCAGGGAGACAACTGGAGTTAAAATTCAGGACACAAACTCTCTGTCCTTTGCCCCTGTGGCAGAGAAATCCTGGGAAACTGCCCCAGTTAATGTCCATCCCTGCTGCCCTTATCCCCTCCCAGTGATCTCCACACTGATAAATTTGACCATTGCTGCAGTTCTAAAAAATAACTTCGAAGGGAAAAGGATCCTATGAAAACTGAGCTCTAGGATGGGATGGAAAGGGGAAGGGGAAGGGGAAGGGGAAGGGAAGGGAAGGGAAGGGAAGGGAAGGGGAAGGGGAAAAGGGAGAGGCAAAGGGAGGGAAATTTTTTCCTTCCCTTTGGAAAATCAGTTTTCAAAGGGTTTTCTGAGGGTCTGCTGAGGCCAAACTCAGCATGGCCACCCCCAGTCCAGCCTGCTGGCATTCCCCAACCCCAGCTCAAGTGTCCCCGTTTGTTTCTCCCACACCCCCACAAAATAAGCAGAAGGAAAAGCTTTTCCTCCCTCCTGATGCCCTGTGGCACCTCCCCTGCACCCCCTCTCATCCCAGGTCAATGTGCTCGTGATGGGGATGCTGAAGACCTTTGGGATTTTCTTTGTGGCTTTCCGAGAGGAGATGGGGGGATCCTCAGAGCAGCTCAGCTGGATCGGCTCCATCATGTCCTCGCTGCGCTTCCTGGGAGGTGAGCTCCTGTCCCAGGGCCCTGAGGGGGCTCTCTGCACCCCATGCCCATCCCATTCCCACCCCAAACTGCTCCCAGCTGGACACGGCTGGCACCCACACGGGTCTGAGCAGGAATGTGCTCTAAACACTGGGACGTTCAGATGGGATAGTGGGAAAAAATTGGAAATTGGGAAGAAATCCTTTCCTGTGAGGGAATCCTTCCCTTGTACAAGATTGTGTATGAGGATCAGGAGGGATTCTTCATCAGGTGCTGGATTGACAGGACAAAGGGGAATGGGTTCAACTGGAAAAAGGGAAATTGGTGTTTGATATTGGAAAATCCTTTCCTTAGGATTTTTCCTCCTGAGAAGCTGAGAGGCCTCAGGAACAAAATGTAAACAATGGTTATCTGCTGCTGTGGAATGCAACAGGTGCATCTGTGATTGGCCCATATTGAATGTTTATATTTAATGGCCAATCAAAGCCCAGCTGGCTCGGACAGAGTACAAGACAGCTGCCCTTGTTATGATTCTTTGACATTCTATTCTATTAGCTTAGCCAGCCTTCTGAGATGAAACCTTTCTTCTATTCTTTTAGTATAGTTTTAATGTTATATATATCATAAAATAATAAATCAAGCCTTCTGAAACATGGAGTCAGATCCTCATCTCTTCCCTCATCCAAAAACCCCTGTGAACATGGTCACACACACTGGCTTTACAACTTTCACAAAAGTTGTGGAGTTTTGATTATCTCCACAAAACACTGTGTCCCCAGAGCTGTGTCCCCATGGCTGTGCTGTGTCCCCATGGCTGATCCATGTCCCCATGGCTGATCTGTGTCCCTGTGCTGAGCTCTGTCCCCAGGGCTGTGTCCCCATGGCTGATCCATGTCCCCATGGCTGATCTGTGTCCCTGTTTCCCTCGCAGCCCCGCTGGTGTCCGTGCTGTGCCGACGCCTGGGAGAGCGCCCAATCTCCATCCTTGGCGCTGGGCTGGTGGCTGGGGGCTGCCTGCTCAGCACCCAGGCCACCAGTGTCCCCTTCCTCTGCTTCTCCATGGGCTTCCTGCTGGGTGAGATGGGCATTGTTGTAAATCAGCTCCTTCAGCCTTAAACCTGGGGAAAAGGGGGGTTTGTTCTGCAGGGGTTTGTTCAGGTGGAGGAGCTGAGGTGATCAGGGACAGGACCCAAGGAAGGAGCTGTGCCAGGGTAGGTTTGGGATGGATATCAGGAAAGGTTCTTCCCCAGAGGGTGCTGGCACTGCGTGCCCTGCCAGGGACACCCTGTGCCCCCAAAAACAGCTCAGGGCCCTCCTGGGTTGGTGAGGATCAGAGACTCATGCAAAAGCTGTGTCAGGGAAGATTTAGGCTGGATCTCAGGGAAGGCTCTTCCCCCAGAAGGTGCTGGCACTGCCCAGGCTCCCCAGGGAATGGGCACAGCCCCGAGGCTGCCAGAGCTCCAGGAGTGTTTGGACAATGTTCCCAAGGATGCCCAGGGTGGGATTTGAGGGTGTCTGTACACGGTTGGATGTGATCCTGGTTGGATGTGATCTTTGTGGGTCCCTTTCCACCTCAGGATATTCTGTAATTCCATGAAACTTCAGTGCCAAATCATCCCCAGCTCCTTTCTGTGAGACACCCTGTGAATTCCCAAAGCTTCATGCTCAGAATAAAACACCAGTTTCAACATCCCAGTCCCAACCAACCTTGATTTTTTTTCCTGGACCTAGATGGATCCTGGACTGTTAAAATCCCTTATAAAAGGGAAGAGCCTCCAACCCTCAGACACCAAACCTCACTCACCAAATCCCGCTTTCCCCTGAGTGTGAGAGCAGAAATCCTCTCCTTTCACCCAGGAACTGCCAGCCTGGGACAGCAGCACATGGAACCCCCACACAGGAAGGGGTTTGTGCCTTCCCTTGGCCCCAGTGGGGGTTTCTGAGGAGGAGCTCTCTGGGCTGGGTTTCTGCAGCCTCCCCAAGGCTGGGTCAGAGATGTCTCTGCCATGGGGCACCACGAGTCTCTCTGTGGTGGGAACCTTTATTCTCATTTTCCCCCTTCCCACAGGGATGGTCTTTGCCTGGTAGAGACTCTCATTCTCATTTTCCTTTTCCCCAGGAATGGGCTTTGCTTGATGGAATCTCTCTATGATGGGAACCTTTATTTTCATTTTCCCCCTTCCCTAAGGATGGGCTTTGCCTGATGGGATTTTCTCTGTGGTGGGAGCCCATGATTCTGATTTTTCCCCTTCCCAGAGGGATGGGCTTTTCCTGATGGAGACTGTGGTGGGAACATTTATTCTCATTTTCCCCCTTCCCAGAGGGATGGGCTTTGCCTGATGGAGACTGTGGTGGGAACATTTATTCTCATTTTCCCCCTTCCCAGAGGGATGGGTTTTGCCTTGTGGAGTCTCTCTGTGGTGGGAGACTTCTCCTCTCATTTCCCCCTTTCTCTCAGGGATGGAGTTTCTCTGTGGTGGGAGCCCCTGATTCTCATTTTCCCTTTCCCCAGGGCTGGGCATTGCCTGCTGGAGTCTCTCACTCTGATTTTCCCCTCCCCAGGGCTGGGCTTTGCCTGGTGGAGTCCTCACTCTAATTTTTCCTATCCCCATGGATGGGTTTTGCCCGCTGGAGTCTCTCACTCTCATTTTCCCTTTCCCAGGGCTGGGCCTTGCCTGTTGCAATCTCTCACTCTCATTTCCCCCTTTTCCCCAGGGCTGGGCTTTGCTGATGGAGTCTCTCACTCTCATTTTTGCTTTCCCAGGGCTGGGCTTTGCCTGGTGGGAGTTTCTGTGTGGTGGAAGCCCCTAATTCTCATTTTCCCCCTTTCCCAGGGCTGGGCTTTGCCTGTCTGTACCAGGCAGCTGCAGTGGTCACAGCCAAGCGCTGCCGGGCTCGCCTGGGGCTCAGCAACGCCCTGGCCCGCTCGGGCATGGGGCTGACCTTCCTCATGGCCCCCTTCACCCAGCTGCTCATCGAGGCCTATGGATGGCAAGGTGAGAGGGCACAGGTGCCCACAGCAGCTGTGGGTCCCTGCAGTGCCCAAGGCCAGGCTGGATGGGGTTTGGAGCAGCCTGGAATGGTGGGAGGAGAACCAGAACCATCCCATGGCAGGGGTGGGATGGGAGCAGCTTTAGGGCCCTTTCCAACCCAAACCATCATTTTTCATCCCTTGCCCTCCAAATCAGCCGCCCCCAGCCTGCAGAGGCAGCTGGCTCAAAGCTGCCAAGGGTTCTGTAAATTCCAGCTCCATGCACAGGAAAAAATTCATATATAATATATAAATTAATTTCAAGGAGCCAAAACATTTCATTGACAAGGAGCTTGCTAGTGTCAGGGTGATGCACAGCGTGGATTGCCGATCCCTGCTGCTGTACAGAACCTTGCTTCTCACTGAGCACAAAACAATCCCTGAGTCCCCTGTGGCTGCCCCTGGATCCCTGGAAGTGTCCAAGGCCAGGCTGGAGCAATCTGGGACAGTGGAAGTGTCCCTGCACATGGCAAGGGTGGAATGGATGGGCTTTGAGGTCCCTCCCAACCCAAACCATTCTCCCAGGATACCTCTGGATACCCAGGATTCTCTGATTATAATTTGGCACCATTATAATTTGGAATTTCTTTCTGAAAGGCATTCAGAGTTTCAAACTCTTTCCTCTGAAGGCAGAGAAGCCTCTCCCATCCCAGCCATTCCCACAGCTGCCATAGCAAGGCAAAGGGTTCCAGGCTGGATCAGCCCTACAGGGGCAAAGTCCTTCCAAAGCTGCAGCTGGATCCTGTTCCTTCCAGTTCATCAGCTCTGAGAGGGAATTTGGGGAGATCTGGAGGCTCTAAGACGCTCTTCTTAAAAATTCAGCACGCCAAGGAATGATTCTGCCTCTTCTAGGATAGTCTGGGGACATCTTGGTAATAATTAAACATTTAATCAGTCATTAAACTCAAAGCACAGATCTCAGAAATTAAACCCAGAAATCCCTCATTAAAATCAGAGTCAAAGCACAGATCTCAGATATCAAAACCAGAAATCCCTAATTTTACTGTAGTGTTTCAAGACCATCTTGAAGGTCCATCATGAGGAATGAGGAAAAGCAAAACAGAGCCCAGAGTAGCTGTGGATTTGTCCTGTGCATCACAGCAAAGTGAACTTCCAGCTAGAAAAAGAGGAATAAAAATCTGTGTTTTGTTGACTCCTCCATAAGGAGGAGGCAAACAGAGCTTTCTCCATGGCCAGTGAAATCCACACCCTGTTCTAAAATGCCATTTTCTGCTGCTCCCCCCTTTCCAAGCCAAGAACAAACCCCCTTTTGCCTCCCCTCAGGTACTCTGCTGATTTTTGGAGGCATCATGCTGAACCTGGTTCCTTCCAGCATGCTGCTGTGGCCTGCCAGCCCCCAGCTGCCTCAGAAATCTGCCAAAAACCAACACCAGGGGTCTCCAGGGGCAGAGAAAGATCCAGAAGCTCCTGGTGGGTGTTCAGATGGAAGCACCCAGAGGGAATTTCAGCTTCTCCATCATGCACAGGAGAGACTGGTGGTGCCCCATGGCAGAGATGTCTCAGAGCCAGCAAATCCATCTGCCCTGCAGAAACCCAGCCTGGAGAGCTCCTGCCCAGAAACCCTCACCAAGGCCAGGAGAAGCCACCAAACCCCTGCAGCCACCACAAAGGAACCTCCTCAGCCTCTGCTGGACTTCTCCCCGCTGAAGGACCCCGTTTTCTACATCTTCACCTGGTCCTTCCTCTTCAGCCACCTGGCCTATTTCGTGCCCTTCTTCCACCTGGTGGCCAGAGCCAGGACCTTGGGCTTGAGCAGCAGGGATGGCTCCTACCTCATCGCCGTGGCTGGTAGGCACAGGGACCTCCACACCCCCAGCCCACAGGAAAACAGCCCCAATTCTGCCCAGAAATGGCCCCAGATGTGTCCTGGGATGGATCCTCCTGGGTGCTTCTCCCAGTGCCAGCTGGATGATCCCACACCCTCCCTGCTCCCAAAAACCACAAATCTTCCCTTAAAAGGTGCTCTGTGCCCACCACAATCCCTGCTGGGCTTAAACCCCCAAGCTAGAAGGGCATCCAAAACCCTCCAGTTTGACCCTAAAGGGAGAAATTCAATACTGGGGAAAAACCTCCCACATTAATGTGGATCCAGGCATTTGAATTTGGCACATCCCAAACTCCAAGTGGGGAAAATACAAGGCACAATCTCCAAAACCCAAACCTGTGCCTGGCTTTAAGGCACATCCTTCAAAACCCAAACCCCAAAAAATAAATTCATGCTTGGGTTTAAAGCGCACTCCCCAAAAACCAAACCCCAAAACCAAACCCATGCCTGGTTTTAAGGCACACTCCCCAAAACCCAAACCCATGCCCAGATCCAGGCACTTGGATTTGGAATATCCACCTCAAAGTGGGGGAAAACAAGGCACAGTCCTCAAAAATCAAATCCATGCCTGGCTTTAAGGCACACTCTCCAAGACCCAAACCCCAAACCCATGCCTGGTTATAAGAACAGTTCCCAAAACCAAACCCATGCATGATTTTAAGACACACTCCCCAAAACCCAAACCCATGACTGGTTTTAAGGCACACACCCAAAAATCAAACCCATGCCCACATCCAGGCATTTGGATTTGCACATCCCAAATTCCAAGTGGGGAAAAACAAGGCACAATCCCCAAAACCAAATCCATGCCTGGTTATAAAGGACACTTCCTAAAACCCAAACCCATGCCTGGTTTTAAGGCACATTCCCCAAAACCCAAACCCATGCCTGGTTATAAAGAACAGTTCCCAAACCCATGTTTAGTTTTAAGGCAAACTCCCCAAAACCCAAACCCATGCCTGGCTTTAATGCACACATCCCAAAAACCAAACCCATGCCTGGTTTAAAGGCAGATTCCCCAAAACCCAAACCCATGCTTGGTTATAAAGAACAGTTCCTGAACCCAAACCCATGCTTAGTTTTAAGGCAAACTCCCCAAAACCCAAACCTCAAACCCATGCCTGGTGTTAATCCACACTCCCCAGAAATCAAACCCATGCCCAGACCAGGCATCTGGATTTGGCACATCCATCTCCAAGTGGGGGAAAAACAAGGCACAATCCCCAAAAATCAAACCCATGCCTGGTTTTAAGGCAAACTCCCCAAAACCCAAACCCTAAAACCCAAACCCATGCATGATTTTAAGACACACTCCCCAAAACTCAAACCCCAAAACCATGCCTGGTTTTAAGGGTCACTCCCCAAAACCCAAACCCATGCCTGGTTTTAAGCCAGGATTAACACTAAAACCATCCTGGGGTAAGAAAGTGGCTCCAGCCTGAGTCAGCAGCAAATATTTTATTATACAAAAATACAAAACTTTTATTTCTGCAGTGCTGGGGAATATTCAGCAGTGTGGGGTTGTGGAGGTTTTAGGATTCCCCAGGAATTAATGGGATATTTGGGATGAGGAGTGGGAGGGACACAGGGCTCAGTGGGACATGAGCTCGCTCGAGAGCTCCTTGAACTTTGCTTCATAAAAATGTACCAAGAAATGTAAAAAAAAAAAGCTCTCAAAACTCCAAATCTCAAAACCCCAACAACTAAAAGGCTGCTGAGCCTCTAAAATATCTGGGTTTCTATAAAATGCCTGGGGTTTTAAAAAAATTAAATTTTAGAATTTAAATTATTATAAAATAAATAAAAAATAAAATATTAGGGTTAATATAAATAATCAAATGTAACATACATAATGTATAAAAATAATAAAAATAATATATTATAAAACACTGTAAAATAGAACTATATTAGAAAATATAATATGTAATATTGTATTATAATGTGTAGTAAAAATATAAAAATATTAAAAATATGCAAATACTAAATTATAAATATAGTAATGTAAGGATAAGTATAATTTCACTATATGAAACGCAGTTAATTATAGAAAAGAATATAGAAAATATAAAAATATAATATTATATACTATATTATATATAATATAATAATAAACTATATATTATGACTGATAATAAACTATAAAATTAGTAATATAAAATATAAAATACTCTAAGTATCAATATAATACATATACTACAAATAAAATCTTCTAAAATATAAAATATAGCTA